TGAAGCCGTGAATGTTACCCCCTATACTCATTCTTCTGCTATGCACGATGGTACCCTCGGCGTTCGAACCCCAACATATCTTCAATTGGTGATCAGCATTAATGGAGCCAAATAGTGAGCTTCAGAGACTTGTACTTGATAGTCTTATGTTGAGAAATTCAGCAGTGGCAGGGGCTGCATGTGATACTCGCACAACCTGGGACACAATCGACATTGACATGCACGTCGCAGCGTGTCCCTGTCGTGGAGCTGCGTTGACTTAGCTCGTGAATCTTGCTGCTAGTAGCACTATGTACTGGTCAGTGTTTTAGATATGGTGGTGAGTAGTTCGCTAGTGTTGATGTTGTGTTCATTATTCTACTACTGGTGATGTCAGTTATTGCTCATTTCAATTGTTATAATCAGTACTATGGCTGAAAAGCAGAGTCTCCCCGTTGTCCTCTCTATGGGTGCTTATCCATTCAACTTCCTCGAATGGGTTCTTATGATCTTGATAATGCTATTATGTACTCCTATTATTCTCATCGGCCTTTTGCTAAACTTGTTGGTCCATCTAATTCAACGACCGCTATTCAATATGGGTTATCCTTATAACCTCAAGCCCGTGAGGCCTTCTCGCGAGGAGTATGCTGTTGTAACTGGTGCATCCAAGGGCCTGGGACATCAAATCGCTATGAAGTTGGCTAAGGCAGGTTGGAGCCTCGTGATCTCTGCTCGTAGCGAGAAGTTGTTGAACGAGTTGAAGGATACTTTGGTGAAGACCTACGGTCCTGGCTGCAAGGTTATCGTCGTCGCGTGCGATCTGTCCTCTGACGAGGGTCTCGCCAAACTCCGTGCTACCGTTGATGATCTCCCAGTCACCCTAGCTGTTCTGAATGCTGGTGGTATGTATTCATGTGATATTGTTAACCTTGAGCCGGAGAAGTTGGAAACTCAGATTCGTCTGAATGTTGTCCAACAAGTGATGCTCTCACAGTACTTCATGGCCCATCACTTCGTTCCCCGTGGAAAGGGTCGTGTCTGCATCATTAGCTCAATTGTTGCTCATGCCCTTGGAAGTGCTAACGCCTTCTACTACAGTTCGAAGTGCTTCCTCACTCAGTGGGGTAAATGCCTCGACCATGAGTGCCGTACTCTTGGTACCGGTGTTCTGACTATTCAACCTGGTGCCATGAATGATACTAACTTCAGCGTTGCCGCTGGATGCAAGGCATCTCCTTTGTTCACCTTGTTCGACATGCCCTCTGAGAAGTGCACTGATGAGGTCGTCTGGAGGCTGCAGAATGATGATCCTCGTGTCGCTACTGGTGTTCACACTATCGGCTTCAAGAATCAGTTCCTGGTTGCCTTGGAGTCTTGGCTAAGTGATAGCTTTGCCGCTTGGGTTGGTAGGATGGAGATGCTTCAGCCCAATACTCCTTATCTCCGCAGTATGAGTGCTAGGGAAAGTAAACTCGTACTGCATTCCCAGTGAGATCTCGGGTGACACATCTCATTTGTCTAATGTCTATGGTTCCTTTTCTGTCGAGGCCGTTTTTGGTAAGGCTCTCTCTGACCATAATTATCTGTCACGTGTAGTGACCATTCCTATGCTCGACCTTTGTATAGCCATAACCGCTATGATGTGGTGGTTACACTGTAGTGGCGCAACTCTGATGTTTTCTTTTTTCATTGGAATAAGTAGTTTTTGTTGCGTTCGCGAGTTACATTCTTTGTTGGGTGTTTAGATTGGTTTGTGTACATCATACTGTTCGTCTTCCTATCATGAGAATGGAAACTCGAGTATCGCTCCCGAGGACAATACCGAAATCATTGGTTGGAAGCATGAGATGTATGTTAATTCGAAAAATAATCAGGGCAGAGCTCAGTCATGCAAGTGCAACGTCTTGGTTTAAAATTGATCTAGTTTGCAAAACCAAGTATGACAATGTCTCATGACTGCCAATGTGACATCCTACTGTATGAGAGCGTGTCACGGTTAAATACTTCCCACAACAATATTGACGTCAGATTTTCGATTCACTATAGCGGAAGACCTTCATCGAATGCCTACTACATAACTCGGTTTGTCATATAGAACGACCTAGACGTCATCGCAAACGAGGACTCTCACTTGCAGGTAAATGCGCAGATCGATAGCCACGCATTTGGTAACATATTTGTGTCGAAAACTGCGATCCGACTGCAAACTTATTGTACAATAATGGATGTAAAGCTGATCATTCAAGATATGACCGACTATTTGAACCGATATCTATCATGCTCATCCGAAAATCTCACAATATGTCCCTCATAGCAGGCTTAGCTTCCTAAGCTCGCAGATCCCTCTAGCTTCCCTCCCCTCATCGTATCGTGTATTAATATCAAGTAAACGAATATGAGGTGTTCGTTTTCATGAGGATTGTAGTTAGATTGCTCGTCTTTCAGTTATTGCTCATTTCAATTGTTATAATCAGTACTATGGCTGAAAAGCAGAGTCTCCCCGTTGTCCTCTCTATGGGTGCTTATCCATTCAACTTCCTCGAATGGGTTCTTATGATCTTGATAATGCTATTATGTACTCCTATTATTCTCATCGGCCTTTTGCTAAACTTGTTGGTCCATCTAATTCAACGACCGCTATTCAATATGGGTTATCCTTATAACCTCAAGCCCGTGAGGCCTTCTCGCGAGGAGTATGCTGTTGTAACTGGTGCATCCAAGGGCCTGGGACATCAAATCGCTATGAAGTTGGCTAAGGCAGGTTGGAGCCTCGTGATCTCTGCTCGTAGCGAGAAGTTGTTGAACGAGTTGAAGGATACTTTGGTGAAGACCTACGGTCCTGGCTGCAAGGTTATCGTCGTCGCGTGCGATCTGTCCTCTGACGAAGGTCTCGCCAAACTCCGTGCTACCGTTGATGATCTCCCAGTCACCCTAGCTGTTCTGAATGCTGGTGGTATGTATTCATGTGATATTGTTAACCTTGAGCCGGAGAAGTTGGAAACTCAGATTCGTCTGAATGTTGTCCAACAAGTGATGCTTTCACAGTACTTCATGGCCCATCACTTCGTTCCTCGTGGAAAGGGTCGTGTCTGCATCATTAGCTCAATTGTTGCTCATGCCCTTGGAAGTGCTAACGCCTTCTACTATAGTTCGAAGTGCTTCCTCACTCAGTGGGGTAAATGCCTCGACCATGAGTGCCGTACTCTTGGTACCGGTGTTCTGACTATTCAACCTGGTGCCATGAATGATACTAACTTCAGCGTTGCCGCTGGATGCAAGGCATCTCCTTTGTTCACCTTGTTCGACATGCCCTCTGAGAAGTGCACTGATGAGGTCGTCTGGAGGCTGCAGAATGATGATCCTCGTATCGCTACTGGTGTTCACACTATCGGCTACAAGAATCAGTTCCTGGTTGCCTTGGAGTCTTGGCTAAGTGATAGCTTTGCCGCTTGGGTTGGTCGGATGGAGATGCTTCAGCCCAATACTCCTTATCTCCGCAGTATGAGTGCTAGGGAAAGTAAACTCGTACTGCATTCCCAGTGAGGTTAAGAAGCACATATTATATCAAATCTATCTGGTGTTGATGGTCATCATATTCTGTGACTGAGTCATCGAGAAGGTTTTCCCTAGCTAGAATCATTTGTCACGTTGAGTGACTACCGTCTACTTGTTTTCTACCGTTGGAACCGCTACGATGTGGTGGTTCCGCTATAGCGGCGTATTTATGATGTTTCTCTATTTCTGAGTACATTCGTGTTCTGTTAGTTATGAGGTAGTTATCACACGGCATGCGTCTTTCTGCGAACTTCTGAGTAAGTCTTACTCTTTCTCAGTAAGAGCTACTGAAGAGGTGAACTATCGCAGTTTCAGATACAGACTGAATCAATGAACACGACTTGAGTCAGGCAAACGTGAGAGGTGAATGATTTTATGTATCATGGTTGTGCTAAGGTCGAAAAGCAAGCACTATCCTATAGCATATACTATCTGTATCTGTTTGCTATCGAGATTCAAGTATTCATATGTACAGCCGAAAGGGGCGAAACTAACTGAGATTCTTGACTGACTTCTTGTGAAAAGAGTACTCTTACGTGTATTACGATACACGCGATACACGCGTATTATGATACAAATATTATTCGTAATACACGTGACAGTTGACCACACTTGTGATAAATCTACATCAGTGTAACAATTTTGCCAATCGCGCGTCGCGATGATGAACATATTTGTGAAGGAAAGGTGTAGTTTCACTGTAATCCGAGTACATATGTCTATATATTCACAGAATCTGTGACACAGATAGAGACGTCGATCAACTCTGCGATAAAGCTGGAGCCCTCAGCTTGAACACAGAGTCGATTCAGACTTCCAGCTTGGAGGTCCATTGATGTCCTAGGAACCAAGCAAGACGGAACTTGGCGGATCCTGCTATCCTGGACCCTAACGACTCGTTAGTAATGAGTTTGATGAAATCTTGTTGGTGAAAAATACGCCAATAAAGTAGTTTTGTAGACTTCATTTGATTCAGCCAGGTCTGTTGTCTAGTCTGTAGAACGGCACTCCGAGAATCCATGACCTGCGAATGTCCCAAAGTTCTATGTTTCAGGGAACGCATGGTGTGAACTGGGTTTCACTTGTTGCACACCGATGCGATCCCGACGCACATCCCCCGACTCGGATGGGTGTAGCTGAAATGCGCCAGGCCAGTGGTGCATCGCTGCTCTACGTAGAAGCAGGAGATTGTTAGGCTAAGTTTCGTGGGACGGTCGTGCGTATCTTGCACGCATATGTGCGCACGCACGTGCAGATTGTGTCCTCTGCACAGTGGATTCCAGTTTTGCACACTCTCCCGTTACGGAGGTGACTGCACTGCTCACGTGATGCGAGATGTTTTCAGTACAGTTGCAATCCTTACTCCTAAATTCATGCATGGAACCTCCAGTCACGAAGAGACTGGTGGTGAAACAGGTTTGACCGGTCAAAATCCACGCCGAGCAAGCTCCAACTCTGGGCCAACTCTGGGCGGAGGGCAGAAAATGCGCCGCTCCAGAACACAATTATTTTTGCGTGCATAGCTTGAAATCGATCAACCATTGTAGTTGGCGCAACATACTCAATTGTATGTCGAGCAAGCTGACAGGAACTTGTATCTGTCAGCTTGGCTCAAGAGACAACCAAGGGTTTGCTCTTCACGGTTTTCCCCCTCCCACGCCACCCAGAGAATACCCCAAACCGGGTACACTTCGACCTGACTCAGCTTCAACCACCGTGGAAAGGTTCAACTTCAACCTGCGAGAAGCTGAGGGTCAACCCCAAAAATGAGGGTACAAAATTTCCAAATTACCGACGGTAACATTTGACCCTGAGAAACACCACCACTGATACCTCCGAGCAGTCAGTGCCTGTGGTTTGAGCACGGTCGGGCGTCTGAGCTACTGGTCGCGATTTTACATATGTCTCCCACCCAGTAGCTGCAGAAACACACAACACGAGAAACGCGTTCGCGAATCGTTCGACTAGCCTCCGAACGAGAAGATTATTGCGCAGCAATCTCGGCCAGTCCTGCGGCTTCGTGCAGTCAAACCAGCCGAGCGGCTCTCTGCTTCGCAGCTCGCCTTCCCAATGTCGGAGCTTAGCAGCGGCAGCTGGATTGTGAGGTGCCTCGCGGACCCCAATAAGGAGCACGAGGAACACCTAAACATACCGACGCGCATGAACGATTCGACGCAGTGCTTCAATAAAGGTCAAAGATAAGGGTATTGCCATTGAATATAACAACCTCAAAAACACTACCATCAACTCGCTTGAGAATAATTGGTCATGGGACAGGTGTCCGCGTGCGGGCGAGCGCGGTTGAAAGTTTGTCTAAGCGCCGTCGGCAGAAAATATGGTGGTATCCGGTTGGTCGAGATCTCTACAACTTTATCTGTCGCATTAGTTAGTGGCATCGTTGAGAGATGATGATTGGCCTCCTGGCCGGTAATGCCCAACGATACGATTTGAATTGACCTTTAAATTACCTACTCAGCAAAAAGACTCTTT